CTAGTCTTATACTCCAGTCAATAAGTTTTCCCAGTTTTTTGGGGTAAAATTAGGCGTTTTGACTTATATTCGGATCGACTTATACTCGAGTATATACGGTAATTAGCATTCTTGGGGTAATGGACAAAGTTAGCAAACATTAAAAGCATAAAAAAAGTCTTATTCTATGCTGAGCATACTTCTAATAAGAAAGAACACAAATATAAAATGTTATAAACATAGATCCATTAAAGGATAATTTGCAAACACATTTTAGAAAAATGATATTTAAGCATTCATTGTGTTTTGTCTTTTACTGTTTTGCAGATGTCAGTTTGTATGCAGTTGTTTTTTTATGTCATATGGTAATTCATTTGTGAATGTAAGGCTTAAATGACAAAACTAGCTGAAACTGAAGTTTATTGTGAATACTTTTTCTGTCAATCATGCACCATCAGTTTCAGTTACTATTGAGTTTTCAAAAATTGGTGAACCTGGCATACAATTATTTACAATACTGTGGTATAGATTATAAACTTGTGCACAGCGAGAACCATTTTTTCCCCAAAATATTTTGGGGATTCCTAAATTTAGATTTGGCTCAGCAGAATTACAGTAACAAAAAACTGATTCAGTAAATAAATCAGATTAACTAAAAGGGTGTGAAACTGGTTAAATATGTGTATTGCAAATTATATACATAATATAATAGTAGTAAACATTTTCCTGCCATTTGGCTCACAGAGGTAAAAACAGAAGGAGCAGCAAAGAAAATCTATCTTTATATAGTATATAATTATTACATATATAATATATAGGTATATAAATATAGATTAACAGTTTAGGTGAGGTATGCGGGTGCACACAGAGAAGCTTGCTTCTAATTTTCAACAATTTAATCAAAATATATACCGTATTTACTCAAATCCATTGTGCACCTTTTTGGAAAATAAAGTTTCCAAAATTTTAATGTGCATTAGATTCGATGGCGCATTACATTTAGGCAAAATTCTAAATTTTCCAGCAAATTAAAACTGGTGAATTCAAAGTAGTGAATTAAAACTGGTGAATTCAGACAGACAAATTCAAACACATGAATTCAAACACGCAAATTCAAACAGAAGAATTCTAAAAGACGAATTCAAAAAGGTGAATACACACAGGCAAATTCATACAGCCGAATTTCATTCTGGCGAATTCGAAGAGGCAAATTTTGTTCCTGAAAGAGGGCTTAAAAAAGAATATAATCAAAACAAAAAAATAAAGTGCACTGTGTCTTTAAGACTAAAAATAAATACTTTATAGTAAAAGTGAACTATGCATAAAACACTTAATATAATAGTATATTTGTACCCAAAGTGACAATGTGCACTGTGCAATAAACACAATTACCTGCAATAATGTGCAAATTGTAATATAAACCACAATAGTGATGCAGACACCTTATACTCTTATACTCACTAAGGAGTATTCCACTTTGCTTGCCACAGGGCCCTAATAAGTATCTCAAAAAAGAGAAAAAAAAGGACAAGCACATAGGGCAGTATGTAAAAAACCATGTGCTAATCCATTATTTATTTATTTCCTTTTTCGCCATCGAATTTTTTTTTTCTAATTCTGGGTTTCAAAAACTGAGGTGCGCATTAGGTTCAATGGCACATTAGATACAAGTAAATATGGTATATTGTTAAAATTAAATAAAAATAAAATGATATGGCAATGGGAAATAATGCAGACTCATTTATATACCTACACATAGCATGTTGCATAGTAATAACTCAATTCTTTTAGATTGTAAATTGAACCAACATTGTGTAAGCTTTTCTGTACTTAGTGAAAAAGTCAGATAAATGGATTGACCTGTGGACCTTAATATGACCTATACATTGAAGGATTACATCTGACTGTGATCTTTTTTTCAATCATAAAGAACCAATAAAGATACACGCAAAATATTAGTGTTTATACTTTTTTTCTGGACAAAATAAATTCAAAGA